GACCAAAAAAAAAAAAAAGAAATGTACGCATTATCCTGCCCATGTAATTGTAACCCCTCTGTTCAGTATGTTCACAAATAAAATTAAAATAATAATAATAATAAAACCTCACAGGATTATGTGCTATAAAAAAAACAACAAAAAAATCAGTACTTACTAACCAGACATTATGAAGGAGGCACAACTATGTTATTTCTTCTTTTTGTTTCTTTTTGGGGTCCAGTCATAGGGCCTGAACTCTGGGCCTGGGCGCTGTCCCTCAGCTCTTCAGCTGAAGGCAAGCGCTCTACCACTTGAGCCACAGCGTCACTTTGTCACTTCCAGTTTTCTGGTAGTTAATTGGAGATAAGAGTTTAACAGATTATCCTGCCTGGCTAGCTTTGAACCGCCTCCTGAGTAGCTAGGGTTACAGGTGTGAGCCACCAGCACCTGTCTTAACACCGAAATAAATTTTAAAAGAGGGTTTTTCACTGCCTTCCCTTCCTATATATCTTTCACTGTAAGGCATTATCTCTGCAAGGCTAGGATTTTATGTAGAAAACAGGCAATCCATCTTATTTCTAATTTATTATATCTATGCACAAAAATAGAAAAAGTGCTAGTCAGAGCTTCTTAGATTTGCACCATTAGGTGTGGAGATAGAAATGGTATCGCTTAGGGATGAGCTGAGAATATATTGTAGTGTTAAAGCCTTTGTCTAGCGTGTTTGAGGCCCTGAGTTTGATCCTTAGCAAACCTTATTACCCTTTCCAGCTGCCGCCCACCCCCCATCCCCCACTCCAACCCAGCCAAAAATAGTTTGAATCTTGGTTCTGTTCTTTAATAGTTGTGTGATTTTAGCATAATATTTTTCTGAACTTCATTTGTAAAATTAAGGGTAAGGATGGGTTACAAAGAAATAACATAGATTGGGCTGGGAAGGTTGCTTAGTGGTAGAGCACTTGCCTTGCATGCATGAGGCCCTGTGTTTCAGCACCACATAAGCAAAAACAAAAAAAGCCGGAAGTGGCTCTGTGGCTCAAGTGGTAAAACGCTAGCCTTGAGCTGAAGAGCTGAGGGACAGCGCCCAGACCCAGAGTTCAGGCCCCACAACCGGACTGCCCCCACCCCTGACCCCCCCCCAAAAAAGAAATAACATAGGTGTGCCTCCTTCATAATGTCTGGTTAGTAAGTACTGATTTTTTTGTTTTTTATTGTTGTGTTGCTCATTGTTTTTATAAAGGTGATATACAGAGGGGTTACAGTTACAGAACTCAGGTAATGATTACATTTTGGGGGGACAATGTCACCTCTTCCCTTGCTTCCCTATTTTTCCCTTCTGTCCTCACCCACAAGTTACATAGTTCATTTTCAACATAGTGTCTAGTGAGTACCATGCTGCATTTGTTAGCCCTTTGTCCCTCACTTCTGTATAGTGATGCTGATTTTATTTTGGCTTTTCTCTTGGATCATGTTCATACTTTAACCATCATTTCCCAGTTTTTGAATAATTTATGACATTAAATTATTTAAAAATTTGCCAAATCTCTTAATCTCTTGTAAGCACATAGTAATTGTGAGGATTTAAGCTTATATATTTTCTCTTTACTTAAAAAGCTATTTTACCCTAAGATAAGGACTCAAGTGTTTTTTCTTTCTTGAGATTGTTTCAAACATATTTATAAGATGATTTCTTTGTTGCTTTGTATATCCCTTCCCCACGGTATAACCCCTGTTTTCACTGTATTTGATGTTGGTATAATTTGTGGAGGGGAAGGGAAAAAACAAATTGTTTAAACAGGGATACAGGTGGACCCATTGCAACAATGAGATGTATAAGTTCTTATGTCGAAAACGAACTTTACAACTTTGGTGAGGGGTGGGAGAGTTGGGGGGGTGGGGAGGGGGGAGATGGGAAGGGATGGGAAAGGGAAACAAAGGAGGAGGCAACAGTGCTTGATAAGAAGTGTACTCATTACCTTGTCCATGTAATTGTAACCCCTCAGTACGGTATTTTCATAAAAGAAAAAAAACAAAAAAGGTATTTTATTTGGGTCATTAAAAAAGTCAAATTCTGGACTCTTTGTAGTAAAATTAGGTACATCTCAGCCATCCAAAATTGATCATTATGAACATTATGTACATTCCACAAATGGAACATTATACATGTTGAAGTAATGGTGTGACATAACAGGATAATTTTGGCAGAAATGTAAGAAATGATAAAAACACCGGTATCCATATTTATACTTTTCCTAAATAAGTCTTTCACTATAAGCCTTCTGAGATTTTTTCCACATTATAGTTTTTTTGTTTTTGTTTTTGTTTGTTTTTTTGGGTCCGGTCGTGGGGCCTGAACTCTGGGCCTAGGCGCCGTCCCTCAGCTCTTCAGCTCAAGGCTAGCGCTCTACCACTTGAGCCATAGCACCACTTCTGGCTTTTTTCTCTTTGCTTATGTGGTGCTGAGGAATTGAACTCAGGGCCTCAGGCATGCAAGGCAAGCGCTCTACCACTGAGCCACCTATGTTATAGTTTTAACCAGACAAGGATTTGAGGCAATTGCTATTATCTTTTTAAAAATAAATGTAAAATTAAGTTATTCGTTATCAACAAAATTCCTGAAGATAGCTGAAAAGGGATTTTTTTTTCTTTTCTACCTTTAACAACCATTTATTATAATGTCTTTTATCTGTGCAATCGGAACTGGACATTAGGGCTGAAGAGATAAGTGATTTAGGCAGACATGAGCTTAGCCTTTTAGAAGCTTCCAGTTTAGTGTGAGAGGAATTGAAACTAATGTTCTAGGTTTGGGCAGTAAATAATGAGCATATAGGGAAAATGATCCATCTGAGTAGATCATAATGTTATTGGAGCTGAAGGAAATTGATTTTTCATTTCCAATGTTTAAGTTGAAATATGATAAGATGTACTATAAATATAGTGTAATATAGTATATATAGGCAATATAGTATAAATAGGTAGACATCTTTATGTAGTTGCTGTTTTAGATCCATGTAACCCTCCCAGGCCAAGCAGAAAGAAACCTCAGTAATCTGTTCTCTCCTCTCTTACCTGTGATGTTTGCCTGCTTGTTTTGTTTGTATTTAGATTAGCTAGTAAAGCAATTCTTTATTGGATAACTTTTATAGGTCTCAGAAATGAACTTTCTCCTTTTGTTGTTGTTGTTTCTGTAGGAATTTCAGTGAACATTATCAGTCTTTGTGTAAAGCAGTACATCACCTAGCAACTCTTGACTGCATCTTCTCCCTGGCCAAGGTTGCAAAGCAAGGCGATTACTGCAGGTAATATGTTTTTCTATATTTCCATCTTTATTGTTGCTTTAGATGAAATGTTAATGTTAATCCACTTACTTTTAATATCTTCACTATAAATTATTACAAATATGTAAGACTGATGGTAAAGCTGAATGTCATACATCTGTAGCTTTGTTTGTTTAGTATGACTTTTGGAACAAATATTTTATTTAAAATATTTATTTATTTATTTATTGTTGGTCTAGGGCTTGAACTCAGGGCTTAGGCACTGTTCCTGAGCAATTTTGCTCAAGGCTAGTGTTCTATGACTTTGGGCCACAGTGCCACTTTCAGTGTTATTTGGAGGCAAGAATCTTATGGGAACTTTTCTACCTTGTCTGGCTTTGAATTGCAATCCTCAGATCTCAGCCTCTTGAGTAGCTAGGATTACAGGTGTGAGCCCCCATTGCCTGGCTTTAAATGTTACATATTAAAATTTACATGGGTAACATTTTTGTAAAGTATAGGCACTCATTTTATCTTTAATGTAGACACTTCATGTTTAACTTTATAATCATAAAAGTTTGATTAACAAAAATTTAATAACAAATAAAAGGTCTGAAGGAAAGGGATAGATTGCTGTGATCTTTTCTGTCCCTCCTTTTGTTGAGAGACCAAATTTTTTCCACTATTATGAGACAGAGTCACACTATATAGCTTAGGCTGGCCTCAAATTCATGGTTCTTCTGCTTTATCCTCCTGAGCACTGGATTACAAGGAGTACCACCACACCTCACTCACTTAATGATACTAGCTTCTAAGCATTCCAGCATGGTTCATTCTTCTTTTCATTAAAGGTGTTAGTTTGAAATGGAATTAACTCTAAATTGTAGCTCTAATCTTTGAACACATTGTCTACCTCCCAGAAGCTTCAGAGAGAGAGAGAGAGAGAGAGTATGTGTGTGTGTGTGTGTGTGTGTGTTGTTGTGTTAGTAGGACTTCTTTCTGGGGGTATAAGACTTGTAAAGTGAACTTTCATGAGGTCTGTTTTGAGTGAGGCAGAGAATTGGCTACAGCCTTTGCACTTAGTGTGTGTTTAAAGTTCTTCCTATTGAAAAATTAATTTCTACATGGTGTCTCTCTCCTGATGCTTCTTAAGTGGCCTTCTGCCATAGGGGCTGCTGGACATTTGTATGATCATGTAGTTGGCTGCCTCATAGCAAGGAAAGTTGTTTGCTTGCTTGTTTTAATAAATTTTTTAACAATGAAAAACCGTCTTGTTTCCATTTCCTGGACTTTTTTCCAAGTAAGGTTTTTTTATGTACGTATGTGCATAGACATCTATATGTACAATGAAGTAATCTATCTGTCTATTTATCTACTTGCCTACATATTGATAATCCCTTTTACAGTCATACATACTTTACATGTGATATAATAATAAACGTTTAACCCATCTTTTGTCACTAAGTAGTCATGTATGCTTAGATGTCTTCATCTGTAGCAATGTGAGAAGTAAGGTTTGCATTGCTAAGATTGAATCTTCAAGTTCTAGGAATTTTTTTTATTGCATTTTAAAATGGTTATTGTGCTAGATGTCAGTGGCTCACACCTGTAATCCTCACTACTAAGGAGGCTGAGATCTGAGGATCATAGCTCAGAGCCAGTTTGGGCAGGAAAGGCTGTGAGATTCTTATCTCCAATTAACCACCAGAAAAACCAGAAGTGTTGCTGTGGCTCAAGTGTTAGAGTGCTTGCCTTGAGCTGAAGAGCTCAGGGACAGCGCCAGGCCCAGATTTCAAGCCCTGTGACTGCCCTTCTCTCTCCCCACCGCCTCCCAAAAAATGTTATTGTAAAGATAAGGTACTGAGAGATTACAGTCACATAAGTCAGATAAAGAGTACACTTTCTTTTGAGCAATGCCACCCCTTCCCTTGTTCTCTCCCAGTTTTCCCTCTCGTTCTCCCCACAAGTTGTATAGTTCATTTTCAGCGTAGTGTCTAGTATCACTGCTGCATTTGTTTACTCTTTGTCCTACCATTTCTGCACCTTCCTTACCCCTCCAAAGACAGATAAATGAACAAACAAGACAAAAAGGAAACGAAAACAAAAACAGCAACAAAGGAAAAAAGCCTCTTGTTTCCATTTCCTAGAGAACTTTTTGATAAATATTATTTTATATGATCAGGTGAACATAGGTACTGGGCCTTTGTGTCCCTTTCCTAAGAAATATAAGAATTTGTTTTGAGGTATAATTTCACCAAAGTCTGTCTGAAGAGTAAAAATATATTCTTCATTTAATCACAGTACAACTAACTATATGATTAATTTCTAGACTCATCAAATTTAAAACAACATTTTGAGAGCAAGTTTGGTCTTAGATTCTATAGTCACGTATTCTTCTTGCTCTTTTGGCCTCTTGAAGTATATAGAGTATATAAGTACACACACATGCACATACACACATACATACATACCCACACATATGTACACAAAGAAGCCCCTTGATTGGCATAAGCACGAGTAAAATCTCCCCATTAGTCATGCCCTTTATATCAGAAAGCCACAGGTTTGAGTTAGTAATTTAATAACTGATCTTAAAAGTTATGTAAGCTCTCTGAACTTCTAGAAGGGTCAGGCTCATAATAAGCAATTAGTAATAGAAGCTATTATTCTTCACATTTGTTTATCTGAAAATCAGAATGAATGCATTGGATATTATAAAACTTCCTTATCTTTAATAAAAAAGACCTAAATTTAATCATTGTTAGTATTTTAATTCTTCTAAAAACTAAGTAGGTGGTGGCATTATAATCCAGTACATGGGAGTCTTGTAAGTAAGCTTGAAATCTAAGAAATATGTGTGTGAATTTCAGACACATAAAATTCATTTGGAGCTATTACACTTCGTCTACATTTTTATAATTGTCGTCTTTTCCTTTAAATGCTATTAAGGTATTTTTATTTATAGTAACTAAACTTGTAGGCAAATGTTTTTATTCTAGGTCTGTTCTAATTTACAGTCTGTTTATGATACTGTTTTACTAATATAGATTACTTTCTGCTTCTCTGGGGCAGTTCAGAGAAAGCCACAGATTTACAGATACAAAACACAGTCAATCTGTTCACTCTTTCTTGGAAGCATCAAGCTACCTGTCACTATTGGGTAGCTGCATGCTTTCCCTTTCTTCTCTCCATAGCTGGTCTGTCCTAGTATATCATCTCTACTCTGAAACTTCCTTTGTTTCTGACTCTACCAGGGAGTGTTTTAACCATTACATAAGTTTGATAGCAACAGAATAAGTCAGTGTGCACTTCAGAGTAGAACAAACCACTCACAAGCTTATCCTGAAGTAAAAATCTTCCAGCAAAGTCACTATCATGAAGATGATATATTGATTTCATTTGGTGCAGAGAGCCTAGGACTTTATTTCAAAATTAAGAGCCTTTATAGATGCTTGAGTTCTTTTCTCCTCTAGTAAATCTGTAACCCACTTGGATAAATTTTTTTTTCTTTAAATGCTGGTATATGTCTGTATTCCCAGCATTTGGGAGGTGAGGCAGGAGAAGCACAAGTTTGACATTATCATTGCTACATAGGGAGACCCCACCTTAAAAAAATCAATCAAAATAACAAAAATAGAAGATAATCGAAAAAGAAAGAAAATCCTGCGTTAAGAATTATGCTCTGTAATCTGAAAACATTAATGTCCTTGCTATTTTTAAATGTTCTTCTGTCTGGATAATTTTAAATTCTTTACTGAGGAAATACTTTAGGCACTTTCTTTGAAAAATGAATTTAAGTATTTAGGAAAGTAGTATTAGTGTTGTAAGTTCTGTGGTGTGTTTATATGTCAGAGTTCTGGGTCAAAGGATTTAATGGTGGTTGATAGGGTGTTCTGAAAAAGAATACAAGAAATGACCAAGAAATGGGTGAAAAGATGCCCAGTCTTAATAATTAATGAGAGCATATTAAAACAGCATCATTTGTCTAGCATATTTTTTAAAAAATAAAAAATAAGAAAAGATAAAG